ATATATATATATATATATATATATATATATATATATATATATATATATATATATATATATATCAGTGGAATGGTATTTTTCTGTGTGTTGAATATATATCTATATTTTTAACTGTTCGAGTCATAGTACAATAATTTGGTGAGTCATAAAGTCTGTGAATAGTGATTTTAATACTTTATTTAAAATGTGTATATATATATATATATATATATATATAACACATACATTTATATATTTACGCACTAATAATTGTGCTTATATTTTATTATTGCAATCTTGGCAATCTTGCGTTAAAAACATACATCTTGCGTTTAAGGAAGCACTGTCGTAAATTTTCAATTCGATTTAATTTGATGCAACTTATAGCGAATCAATACCATAAACGTGACGCTATATGTGCGTACTTAATGATTTATTTTTTACGTATATTTGCTTACGCCATTTTTTTAAGCCACACTGTTGTTCTATACTTACAATTGGTTTTTAATTGTCAATTTGGTAATGAGTTTTCGTACAGAAAAATTTAATTAAAAGATTTTTTAAGTTATATTATAATGATTGGCATGTTCAACACGTATTTTCAAGTGTTCACTTTTCAGGTATTTTGCGGTACAAAGTGGACTTTCAAAGCATGCAGCTGGAAGATACCGAAATCGATAGCTTTGATTTGGACGACTACTAAGTCCATGACACAACCGACATTTGGTTCTTTTATCTTCGAGGAAAAAGCCAGGAGAAGCATGCAGTGTGTGCGGTCTCTCTTGGTGCAGCAAGAGAGAAGCATAGACGGGCACGTTTCGAAATTCATCATACAATGCAGCAACAACAACGTACGATATCAACACGAAATTATTATCTAGAATTTACCGAGCATCAAGCAGATCGATTATACGAAAGAGTGGAGCACAGCATACGGCAGGAGCATATCGCGGCTCAGCACCGCCGTATCTACGGGAAAAAGAAATAAATTAAAAGAAAAAAAAAACAAACAAGAAATAAAGGGCATCTCGAAGACTGTGACACTTAATTAAGCCAGCTTGATACCTGCCTACTCTCATCTAACATTTTACCACCCTTGTATTACGATTATGGTCCTCAATTATTCACGTGGATTCGTTTAAAACCAACCTACACACGCGCTCTACAGTGCCGAAATAAAAGAAAATATTGTACAGTGTATGTACGTGGTTCGGTCGTAATTTTATATTAAATTGATGTTTGTCATCTTTACCATAGATTTTATGAGGAATGAGTATTTGAACTACACAAGAGCGGATGTAGCGTTATTTTTGTTCAGATACAATCATGAAAGAGCTGTAATAAACTGATTATTATGAACATACAATTGCATTTGTATCGTGCATTCTGACACCGGTTTGCAAAATTCACGCGGACATACTAAACGGAGAGCGTTCTGTAAATAGATGTCAATTTTTAAAAGCGGCGCAGTTGCCTTAGGACATAAGTTGAGATCGTCGTCGACGATCCACGGAGTAAATGAAGTATTTCCGTCTTATGCAGTGATACATATACTTGTAAATGTAGGGGCATACAATTTCCACGCGATCCCACGTTGCTCCGTTGCTGGCTCTCGGCTCTTAGATTTTGTACATTCACACAACTGTACATAAGAGGCGCTTTGCAAAAAGGAGAACAAAAAGAGATGTATCGAGAGGTAACTTTTTCCATTGTTATAATAGTGGTGCACCTCACAGTGAAGAGAAAAAGATATTCCCCGCGATATTTAAACGGCAGTTACTGAAAGAGATATTACGAAATTATTTTAACACTGTTAATTTAACTTGCTTGTTCGTACGATGCCTTTGTAATAAACGACGCAATGTATGTATAAATGTGGAAAGAGTGTAACGTGCAATTTTGGTGAAGTATTCTTTAACGGAAGAACGTATGCTGTACAGAAAGGCGAAGATTCTCGCGAATGCTATGATTCTCTTGTCGAAAGGAAGAAAAGTAAGAAGAACAGTGTATTATTGATCGATAATATATTTACGTAATTCATTATACGATATTCTGATGTACACCTTGCAGAGACAAAAAACAGGCGCACAAGAGAACTTCATCAAAGTGGAACGTTCGAGATAGAGATAGATAGAGAGAAAGAGAGATAAATAGAAAGCGAGAAGTCTGACTTGTGGTATGTGCACAACGAATTTCAGAACGTGATGGCTTGAAGTATTGTATCTGTGTATTGTCTCTCAAGATACCGAGATGTTAATTGCCGGCTTAACGTTTCTTCAAATTTTTATATGTAAACATCTTCTCACTAGGAGTCTTTAGATAGTTATTTATTTCTACACATCGGTGCGACTACGTTTCTGCTTAGCGGAACATTGATTTAAGTATGCAAGATAGTGCATTAAGAAACTCGATGAATATCAATGAGTGAAAGAGAGGGAGAGAGTGTGTGAGAAAAGAAAGATGAAAAGAGAGTGAGAGAGCGAGTGAAAGAAAGAGAGAGAATAGGAGAAGCCTTGTAATCTTTGTCTTAAAGTAAGGGTACACGGAAATGTCGTCCACGCGAGTTGGTTTTTGAATTGAATCAATGACGTACTTAGATTATGGCTTGCCTATGATCTCTATAAGCATAGTTGTGTAATCTGCTATAACAACATATTCGTCATTGATATTTTATTTCCACACGTATTTTGCCACTAAAAATATGTCCTTTGATCGAGGCCGGTTGTTTCCTTGAACCGGTGGTTTCATTACGTTTCACGTATAACGTGAATTTGTAATCATTGTATCTATTTTATTCGGATCGATTTCTCAGGTCCATATTAACAATCGTTGATTGAAACTTATCTCGCGTGAGATACCTTAGATTTGAGTTCAGAGTTACATGCGAATCTTCTATTTATATCACAATATTATACTGCAAATACGCTATCATGATATTACAAATGTATCACATCACATGTGTATAATGTACTCAAGGGAAAAACTTTGATCTAACTTCTGAATACAGATCTGAGCATTTCTCACGTGAGGCAAGTATGAAGTAACGACCATTATCATGGACCTCGGAGTATAATTTTATTATAAATGTTCCGCGCGTTTTCATGTGTGTACGCCAGCACGACGTGTGTTTGTACGCTGTTCTAAAATGGGATCTGTTCTTCAGTGGATTACGAGTATACTTGGTATGAATCATAGCTAAAACGATCGGAAAAGAAATTGTCGGGTAGTGTCGCTGCTCATTTCCTGTGAGATCTATGCTCTGTCAGGTGACAAAGAGGGAGATTGAAATAATGTTCCAAAAAGAAACATTCCATACGCGCTTAATATGCATTAATATGAAACACTGCATGCAGAGATCGACTTCTTTTTTTTTAAACGCATTCTCACGTCAATTTTCACTGCGTTTACACAACTAATTCACATAATTATTACAGTTAGGCGATTTAATTGTGTGTATATTGTATACATACATATTTCATGTCACTTTGTCATGTAGTAACGTTTTAATTTGTCCGCTAAAAGATAAAAATTATACACAAGTGCACGCGCGAGAGCTACAAATCGATATTATCGCGGCGTGTTAAAAGAGATAAAATTCACGGATGACAAATTCATAAAAAAGAAACATTCGTGCGTTTGTCAAACAGGCATTATTTCTAATCTTCCTTTTCTCACGCATATTTTACTCGAAGTTTTATATACAAGGAAGAGTAACGTGTCATCGTAATATAAAAATGCCGAATAGAACTGGACAACCATAGGATATTAAACAGTACATGAGTGAAAAAATACAATCTATGTTTCTCATACAAACAAGATGGTCATTAGAGTCCGGAATTGTTACACTGGCATAACACACCTTACGGAGATCATACGATTTCATAAAATTACGATCAATAAATCTACTTTACTGGTTTTTTGACGTATCATCATACTCAAATTGAGCGTGTTTTTTAACATTGATCCGCGGTGGTTTATGTCAACGCGATGTTTCCGGACCCGAATCACAATTCTTCATATTTGGAAACTACCGACGTTTACCTTCAGGCAATTCGCGTTCCTATTTGTGAGAAGGGAGATGAACAGTTCTACTCTCGTGACGAGAAAAGTACCTCATATAAAATACAAAATATACAAGGAAGATAGTAACTCTCCTCAGCCTAAACGTAAACCTCAAACGAACGTAATTTAGCGAAGGAAGTCGAGATGGAAAATGACATAGTGATTTTTATACAATTGTTATACCTGGTTGTATCAGAACGTTTCTGCTCGCTGTATAAATCTCGGACGGAGGGAGAATCCGATGTATTTCGTTTCGGAAATGTGCAAGAAGGAAGCATTTCTTAGCATTTCTTTATATTTGTACATTTCATATACACTAAGGAAGGGAGAAGAAAAAGAAAATTGATGACGATTACTGACAATAAACAGAAAAATATATTAAATGAAAGGATTGTTTATAGATTTTAACATGTATAGGATACGTAAGAGTTAAGTAACAGTCTTATGCACGATCGATGAAAAGTTCTCTCAAAGAAAATTTCAGTTGACGATAATTAAATATATAATTAATTAGATCCAGAGTATCGACTCGCGAATGACTGCGCAACGTATTTGAGTTCATGATGCGCCGTTATCCTTGAATTTCTATATCATAACATAATCGTGTTAAAAATAATTCTGTTAATAGTCTATGCGACGTATTTTGGCGTCGATGTTGTGGCGCATTCCAGCGCTATTTGAATTCTTAGAAATTCTATGCACAAATACTCTATGTACGGTGTACCTGATGACAACATATAATACTCTCGTGTATGTATAGATTAGGCCAAATTAATCGAAAAAGTCCTTTACTATTCTGCAAACAACTGTGTAAATTGTTGAGTTATTAATTAAAGAAGATTTGTGAATAATTACGCATGATCGTTCACCAATCTTCTTTAATCAATAACCCAAAAATCGACGTGGTTATTTGCAAAATGATAAGGATTTTTCTATTCAGTTTGACTTGCTGTCAAGCACACGATGAGAGACGTCACCATAGATCATTTACGGTGTCGCGTGTTATCATTCACTACAATCTTCTTTAATCAATAACTCAAGATCTTATGCGGTTGTTTATAAAATGCTGGAGAATTTTTTGTTGAGTTTGAGCTAATCTACAAATACACGAGAATTTTATATGTGTTGTCAGAACCCCTGTATATCAGACACACACGTGAGCGTACGATGGAGTAGAAAGGCACCGCAGATTGCATCCCAGTCAATCTCGAATCTCTAATTTCTAAATTTTTGCATTGTCTCTCGCGCGTCTGCATGTCTTCAAGGTGTTCGAGAAAAAGCACCGACACGATGGAAAAATATTCCTAATAAAGAGAAACGGATGCATTGTGAGCAGATACGCTAATCCTCGTCCGGAACGAGGAGGTTGAGATTGTCGTTCTTCACCGCCGAGCCTATGAACTGTTCCTCGGCGCCGCGTATGGAGAGGCTCGCCGCGGCAATAACGGTTCGCCTCTCGTCCATCATCGCCGCCCTGGCCCAGCTAGAGCCGTTGCATTTACCGCAGGTGTGCGATGGCATACGGTACAAACTGACTGTCCTGTTGCCGCAATCGGCGCATTTGAAGAACCTTTTAACGGCGTCGACCACGCGCAACGAGTGCCGCTTCTCTTTGCACATGTCCGACGCCGAGAACGCCGTATATTTGCACGTCAGACACGTCACGGCTTTGCAGTTGACCTTGAAGGTGTTCATCATTTTCTCCTCCATTCGCTCCTTCGCCTCCAGCTTGTCAAAGTACTTCTCCTTCTCCTCGTCGTACGATTTCTCGATCAGGTCCGTGTGCGAGGACTTGACCGCCAATAACTCCTTGAATTTGTCGTTCATCTTCGTTCTCTTCGTGTTCCGTTCCTCCCGTTCGTTATCTTCCCGCTGACGCTTCGCGCTCTTCTCGAGCTTCTCCTGCGAACTCGCGCGAACCTGATTCGGATCCTTCGCCGTGATCTTCCCGTGATCCTGCACCCACTTGATCGCGTTCATCTTGGCGCTGCGGATCTGTTGCTTGGTGATCGGTTCTGAAAAATCTATCATACCCTGTTTACATCCCATCCCCAATCGCGGGTTTGAACATAAAGATGCTAGAGAGATTTTCCTGTCCACTGAGTTGATTTTAGATTTGGTAGGTGTAGGATTGCATTCCTTCTGTTGCACAGAAGGACTGGGGCACAGAACCGGCCCGTTCGTCGATGACTGTACCATTATCTGCTTCGGTGCCTGCCAGCCTCTCAATTTGTTGAGTCGCTCGTGGTCCAGTTTGGATTGCTTGTTCGTCAGTTCGACGGCTATCCCCTTTTTCTTAATATCTGCGTTGACCTCAGATTTACGGTCGTCCTTTGCTTTCTTGGCAGTGCTACCTGAAGCTACTCCAGCCAGCATTTCCAGACGCGCGCGGTCTTTCTCGTACAACTGCTCATTACGTTTCGCAAACACCGGCACGAACGGTGCCATTCCGTTGTAAGGTTGACGCATGTTTTGCTTGTTCATGCGTTTCAACGCGTCGCCAGTGAAACCGTGACCGTTGTTACTCGACAGCAGGTCCGCACGTCGTGAGCATTTCTTGTATTCCTGCTTGACGTGGTAGATGCAGTACTCGCATCGACTGATATTCACCACCGCGGTGCACGCATCGCCATTCTTCTTCACCGATTTGCATTTACCCATGTCTTTAGATCGGCCGAGAATCATCATTTTCTGAGGATTGTCGATCGACAGTGTCGCCTGATCGACGTTATCCTTGCTCTCGAGCACGTTCGGATTGAGGATACTTATGACGCTGCCGGTGATAGTCTTCCACAGTTGTTTGTATGCGTTGCTGAACAAGAAGACGGTCACGGTCTTCAGATCGTCAGATAGGTCGCTTATCTTCCAGATGCAATAAGATGTACCCTTCTGCGAGGTCTTTGTGTCTGATTTGTTAATTAATACCCCGGCGATCACCCAGTCGTTGTGCACATTATCCGAAATGATGTGGTTCTTTACTCTGGATATTGTAACAGCTATCTTGCCTTCCATACGTTCTTTCAATTCAGATGAGGATACAAGTGGGCTAACGATTCTTATTCCAAAGAAAGGATCACTGTACACGTCTTTAGGTACTAAAATATCATTTTTGTTGCTTTTTATAGCATTGTTAAAGTTAAAAGTCTTATTGTTGTTACTATTCGTAAAAATCTTATCATTGTTCTGTGATAGCTTTATTGGCTGCTCAAGTTTGGCCACAGAATGTCCTTTCAATAGCTGCTTTATATTACGTCCATAATTAGAATACTTTTGCTCCTCAAAATAACGTTTATCCTCATCATCTGAAGAATCCAGCTTGTCGTCATAAATTTCACTGATGACCTTCTCATTAGTTGGTTTATCTTCATTGTCTGTATTACTAGGTGCAGAATCTAAAAAACTAAATTGCAATTCTGTCAAAGTTCTCTTTGTTTCAGATAGTTTTGGCTGTTCAGACTGCTCAGGTTGTTCAGGCTGTTCAATCTCCTCGATATCATTTGACATAAGATTATTTAAAATATCTAGATCAGTATCGCTGTCCTCGTGTTCCATTGTAAAACGCTATAATAAAAAATATTTTTGATTTAGAAATATATCTGATTAATTTATATATAAAGGATACATAATACTTAATTTTATATATTATTATGTACAAAAATATATAAGGAAATATTAGATGTTTATTAGCACTAGTGGTGATAGTAATTATAAGAGAGTTTATTTTCCTTGTTTATATTATAGTATATTATAGTAGTATTATAATATATATCAAAATATGATTTAGGAAAGAAAGCTACAGATTTTCATATACTTGGAAAGGTATAGTGGTGTCAGATAAAGTTAATTTGATCAATCAATAAATTGTTAGAACTGATGTGTAGTAGTCACTTAATACTGAAACTTATATAGAAAAGTTTCTCTCTGAGTTCATCATTATGAGTTAGAAAGTGATAAAAACGCTTGAACAAATTTTGTTTTGTTAAATTTGTCATCAATTCATTATATGGCTTTTATGATAGATAATTGATGCCTAACTCACCTTAACCTTATTCAACGTTTATTTTTATACGTCACAATACGAGCGCAGCTTGGTAAAAATATTTATTAATATCATAAAAATCATTTACACATAAACGTTTCTGAATCACAGATAATGTCATACATTATTCGATACTTTTCACAGACAATATATTATATCAACAACTATTTACATGATAGGTTATGCTGGCATTTACCCGCCAATTTCCAGCAGATAAGAGAGAAGGAGAATCGTCGATTTGTCATCTCCATTGCACTTTTTACACTTTACTTTCACATAAGTTCACGATGTATTGTCATCTAGTTTGTGAATATTCTTTGTGGTGTAAAAATACCAAATGTTTATATACGAATCATAACTCCATCAGAATATATTTTTTTCTGATTGAGGTTATTTTTCTCATAAAACGACATGATTAATTTCAATATTGCCGATACTAGAATTATCTCAAGTACTTCGAGCATTTTGTAATGCGCGCGGTTTCGAAAAATGGACGCCTTACTGTGATTGGCCGCTTGACATATGTACTTCGATAATCGCAATCGTCGTCTGCGGCTAAGTTCACTTATAGAACGGGAAAGGACACGGTTGTTCGCACGCGGGAAATCGCTCCGTATTTTCCACATTTTTGGCTGGCTACAGGTGAGTCTCGCGCACGAGACATCGTCGGAAGTGCCGAAAGTGAGTTTCGCGCGTTTGTCGTATGGAGATATCACCTAACAGTCGTCTGGTCAAGCAAGGTATCCCGCGTTCGTAGAGACATGGCAGTTGGAGATCCAAATCGCTGCCCAGCCTCCGAGTTGCTGCCGAGGGCGAGTCTCGCGCGCGGAATATCGTCGAAAGTATATTCTGCGCGTGATGTGTGATGCGATATCGTGAGAATGGGAAGCGAGCATCTCTCTTGGGATCATCGGGAGCATCGCGATTGAGATATTGGGCATTCAAATGGCTGCGATTTGCCGCTGAAGGAGCGTCGGTAAGTGTCGATAAAACAGAGCCTGCGACAAGTCAGTATACCTGCGACCTCACGTGTTGACTTTTCTATTCCTCGCGCGAATTTAAATCTGTGTTATGCTGGCAACCAATATTCATATTTATAACGAGGTCTTAATTTTCTTCAAGTGAGGTTAGTTTAGGCATCGAAATACTATTCAAGATCGACGGTCTTACAGAAGTTCGCGTGACTGACAGTATTTCGACAGTTAATCTACGATGCAGTAGCAATCTTATGATTTGTTATTATTTCGCGATGTCTTACAGATGTGCACACATATCTACACAACATCTCTGAATGGTAATAAATCATAAAATTGAGGTACCGCCTTCTAGGTTAATCGTTCAGGTATTTATATTGCGATGGTTGGAACAGTCGGTAATGTCAGTGTTCTTGAATTATCTCCTTAGATTATTTCTGAGTCACGCTGATAGTCACGAAAGTGGGAAGTAGAAAAATATTCATTAATAATTGAGTTCCAGAAATAACAACAATATCGCGGAAAATTATAAATTTAAAAATTGACTTTTGAGACGGATTCTTCACATTTTATATTTCTATGTCTGTGAAAGTGGCACTATATTTTTAAGAAAATTAATTTATTATCATAGTTTTGATTGCACTTCGACGAGTTTTAGAGTTTTAGATACAATTTAGAAATAGTTTTGCAGAAATGAAGTAAAAAAACTAATTTTGAAATTTAGAGGTGCTAAGTTCACAAAATGAAATCAGAAAAATGACAGTAACTTTTTAACGGTTGCACTAAATGGATTTCATCATTAGGATTTTTTATAGAACTCTTGAGGTGCTATCCAGAACTCCGGTCAGAACACCGGGATTGTTAAAAAAATTTTCACCTTCTCAGGAATTAGAAATTGTCACGAAACGTTTATTCTGAGAGGGTAAAATATTTGTTAACATTTCCGACGTTCCGAATGGAGTTTTGGTAATAATTCCAGCGTTCTGACCGGAGTTCTGGCAGCACCCCGAAGAGTTCTATCGATTATCATTAAGAATCTTCGAGCTGCAACCAATGAGAAAGTAGTCTTTCGAATATTCGGTTTCGTGAAATTTGCTAAGTCCCATACGAATAAATTTTTTTTCATATTTTCGGCGTTCTAACGGGAGTTCTGAATAGCACCTCGAGTTCTATAAAAAATTCTATAAAAAATGAAATCCATTTGGTACAACTGTTAAAAAGTTATTGTCATTTTTCTGATCTCATTTTGTGAATTTAGCACCCCCAAACTTCAAAATTAGTTTTTTTACTTTATTTCTGCAGAACTATTTCTAAACTTGTATCTAGAACTCTAAAACTCGTTGGGGGCAATCAGAACTATGATAATAAATTAATTTTTTTAAAAATGTGGTGCCACCTTTACAGACATTATATTTCCTTTGCATACAGTAGTAGTTTTTTGTCTTTTACATTATATATTTTACTTTGTTTAATTTATATATTACTTGTGGAAAGTTCATGTCTTAATTCATTTGATATGTGATTTATCATTTGATACCATTGTATTCTGGGTGCTCGAGAATCTTTGCTCAGCCCTGGTCCGCACTGCAGCGTGCACCAGTCGAACATAATCCCTGCTTTTAGGATTCGCACATGTAGCACGCGTGTCGATCTCTGTTCACTGTTAAATCGAAAAAAGTGGAATTGTGCCACAAAATATTCATATAAATCCGCGTCGTTTGTGCCACTTTCAGATCGAGTTCATTTAGTTCGGCTTAGTTCTGTTTTGTTCGCTTACACGCAACACTCCAGCATTCGCGTGTTATACCTCAACCGAAAACTATTATCGTTGAAAAAGATCGGTTGCCAGCAACCTGAAATCAATAATACTTTAAATTAATTACAAATAATTTGAAATCTGGTCTTATTTGTCACGGCAGTTGTGCGTCAATTTTCAGTCGCGTTTTTTTTCATAATAAAAATATATCTTAACGTAATTGTCGTGTGTGTTTGTGCGAGTGCAGTTATATGTGTGTGTGTGCACGGAAAAAAAGATTTGCTAATATATGGACAACTAAAAATATTAACTGCAGGAGCAAATTTTCTTGCTTTTATAGCAAAGTTATTTAGTTGTGATATATATATATATATATATATATATATATATATATATATATATATATAACTTTGCTATGAAAGGAAGAAAATTTGCTCCTTCAGTTAATATTTTTTGTTGTTTATATATTAGCAAATCTTTTCCGTATGTGTGTTTTCGATGCCTACTAATCAGTCATTGGAAAGGTGGAATCTAGTGAATTTTTTTCTTTTTTTTATTGTACTTTTATAATTTCGCAAATCTTATATAATTTCTTATGATTCTATGGAATATTAAGATTTAATAACAGAAAAACATTCTGAAAATATTACAAAGATTTAAAGAGAACAAAATGGGATGTGTAACGGATGAAAAATAATTTGCTGGCTCAACAAATTTTCTACTAGTCTAGCAAAATTTTTTCGTTATTATATGGACAGCAAAAATATTTGCTAAGAGTACTAATCACTATTTGCTAGATATAATTTGCTGAATCTATAAATTATTTTTCTATAAAAATCATGGATTTATATAAGCAGTTGCAGTTTTGCTCCGATAGTAAATAAATTTGTTAAGGATACATTATTTTGCATCAATAGCAAATTAATATGATTCTTAGGATAAATACACTCAAAAAATTTTTTTAGCTTGGTAACGAAACTACTCCTGTTCTGATAATGAATAATTTGTAAAATTAGTCAACTAAATTTTTTTGATGTCACTACGAATATGCAGTAGCAACGACGATTTTGCTAAAATTATTTTTCTCTGCGTGGAATCTCTCAAAGTCTACTTTTCCGACAACAAGTTAATCTGCCCTACATAGAGTATTGATAATTTGTACACAATTAAATTTAGGTATGTTTATTTATCTCGGGGATACACAGTGTAATACCGTCATTATGATTTTTTTCTTTTTACTATTAACTCGCGTGTAGTTTCTGAATTAGCACAATCGATGCACCACAGTGATGTATATATATCGAAATATAATAATTTAATTTATTCCTGACCAGATACTTAACGCTCCAATAATAATTAATGGAAATACGGCTCGTTTCATTGCGCGTGTTTTGGGAGAGTTGCATCGGCTGCTAATGGCTCGTTAACGGCTTAATTACATATCGCGTTAATCCTCTTCGTAGGCATGTAATTGTCCTCGTGGCAATTCGCCGAGCTCTTATCCGACGAGAAAGAGAAGCTGACAATTTCTAGCGATCGTTGTTCCCGAGTTATTATTCGCGATAAATTATTTGCGAGCCGTGGTTGTCGCCAAATCGTCGCACGATCTCTGATTCATCCTGTCATCGTTGTCATCGTTGTCGTCGTTGTCGTCGTCGTTGTCGGCGATGTGTAATAGCGCAATTTTTGATGGTTAGCATGGTACACTGAGAGAAAGACACTTGGAAATTTATTTGTATGATACAAAATTTATTTCCGTGATATAAAATATATTTCTGAGAAATAAATTTTGTTTCTGTGAAATAAATTTTTGTCCTACAAATAAATTTTCAAGTATTTTTTTTTCGGTGTAGTCGGGAATATACCCGACTGTGTAGAAGATGTGTAGAAAAAAGTCCTAACTTAAATCTACTGTCGTATTCTTTGACAAAAATGTGCAAAGCTATTCCTTTCTTTAAATATTTTAACGAAAATAATTTCAGCGGTATGATCTCACGCTGAGAAAAAAAAATAGTTGAAAATTTATTTGTGGGATATGTTGTGGGGAGTTTATTTTTGTAAAATAAATTTTTATCCTACAAATAAATTTTAAAGAATTTCTCTGCGTAGGAACTGTCAAATAAGCGCAGTTAAGCGAAGAAACTTTAATTTTTCTTAAGCAAATGCTTTTTTCCGGAATTTCAATTTGTAATTTTAATTATTGATATGTCCACACTGAGAAAAAAAATATCTGAAAATTATAAAATAGTTATTCGGTGGGTACTAATAATTTAGTTTATTTAAATCTAAATGTTTTTATTTAAATAGAATAAACAATTATTTAAAGAATATTAAAAGAATTTTAAAGAATTTAAAGATTATTAGAAGAATATTTAAAGATTATTTAAAGAATTTTAATAGAATAAACAATTTTTATGAAAAGCTAAGATTCTAAGATATGTATATTTTCTTATTTAAAATATATTATATATTTTTTAATTTTATTTTTTATATTTTATATATATGAGTACATAGTTATTAGTATAAACTGCAAATAAATATTATTTCTCTCTTAAATATTTTTTCTCTCACAATAAAATTGAAAGGCCATAACGAATGATAGTCTCCGGTGAATTTGAGTACATTGTATCAATCCCGTACAGATTCTTTCCTGAAAATAAACATAATAGATTATTGATTCGACATGTTATTCTCGTTTTTCCGAATAGTCGCCAAATAATAAATAAATAATGCGCGGTTCGAAAATCCTAATAATCTAGGTATTTCG